CACTGTCACACGGGCTACTCCGCGTGCCTCTCCATAAATTAAATGAATGTCCGCTAATTCTCTAAGTGAATACCCATTGACATCCATCTTAAATTTATTAAAACATGTTCACAGATACTTTGACAAATTGTCAAACAGAAGTATTATTTTATTATTGAATTTATTGTCATGGTTTCTAATAAAACAACTGTAAAAACTTCAATATATCAGGTGAATTCCAGCGGTTTTCAACCGGTGGGCTATGAAATTTGTGTATTCTATAACTCTTTTGGAATAAGTCTGAGCTGTAAATGTTATTAAGGTTTTTTACTCAAAATAATGCAAACTATCACCCCTTAAAATCTGTCACAATAAACCCCAGTCAGGCTGTATACATATTTCAAGTATAAATTCCTTCAGTTAATGAAACTATGAAAATGTGTAGCATCATACAGCATACCTTAGGTGAATCACAGACGATTAATTAGTTTTATTATTTGATCGATAAGCCCACATTTAAAACCGAAAACTGTCAAGTCAAATTTATCAGATTTAACTAATGTATTCGAAATATCATCAAATTCATAATACATTTTATCTTTAAAGAAATATAAATTTCTATATCTGAATGCTCTGCTTATATTTGGAGGTATTCCAGCAAATAATTCTGAAATAAGGCCATTTTTCTTTGATCTAAACAAACACTCATCAAACTCAATGTACAAGACTTTATCATAAAATATATATGTTTTTCCAGAATAAGTTCTAAATATTGCATCACTTTTTCCTTTTGGTATTCCTAAATTTTCAATAGATCGAGCATTATATCCACTTTTAACATTAAAACTTGGAAAATCAATTAAATAATATAAATTTTCAACAACTATTAAAACATCACCTGAAGGTCTAGTTTTTCTCATTTTTCATAATATCAGATATATTACTTAACCCTCTTTTCCTATCAATTTTATTCCTTGTCCATATGTCTCCGACTTGTTTGGCTTCTTCGTTTTTTTTTTATTCTTTTTTTCATCTTTTGTTAACAACCATCTCTCTAAATATCCTTTATTGAATGCAGAATTATTTGTGATTTTTGAAATAATAGTTTTTATATCAACGTCTAAATCTTTAAATTTTTCAGATTTATTTTGCGCATCATATTTATATTGAGATGTATCTGCTGAATCTGCTGTGTCTGGATACCAACATAATTGTGATGTTGAAGTATCAGATACATCTACTGAAAATTCAATCAGATTTGAAATTAACGCAGCAACACCCACATAATTTGTTTCTTCTATTAATACCTCTTCATAGAATAACCTCACATAGTTAAAATATAAGTTAATAACAACCTGCCATCTAGAATCATTTGCATCAACTATTTGTAGACTCCTGTCTGCTACTAATCATAAAGCAAGTCCTTCAATTTTTTTTTTTTGAATTTTTGGAAACGTTTTGAATTTATTGATTCGTTTTGAAATTTAATTTTACAATTTGATTTTTATTTTTGAAAATATTTTTTTTATTAATTAATTCGAACACAAAAGATTCTGCACACCATCAGGATTCGAACACGCTGCGAAAGAATGTGCACATGTTCAGAGCGCGACGCTTTAACTTCTGCGCCAAAGCGGTTTGCATTATTTACGGTATTTGTGTTAAATAAATGAATATGTCTTCGACCTGCGGACCCCTAGTTCCCTTCGGGGACGCTTTGCCTATTGATTTTATTAAAGCTGATGAAAAAGAACATTATAACAATAATGAATTAGCGCCAAAATGGCCTTTTATATTAATAGCTACAGGACGAAGCGGTTTTGGTAAAACAAATATTGTTGTCAATCTTTTAGAATATTTATTTTTTGATATTTTTTATTTGTATGCGAAAGATTTAGAAGAACCTTTTTATCAATTATTACAAAATGTCTTTGATGATGAAAAAATTCAAAATATAATTGAATCATACTTTTCATCAGATATACAAGATGTAGACGAACTAGATAGAGATAAACAAAATTTGATTGTTGTTGATGATTTCGTAACGGAAAAAGATCAAAAGAAACTGATAGATTTAGCTATACGTGGAAGAAAAATGAATGCTTCAATGATTTACATAACGCGGGATTGGTACAGAGTACCAAAATCAATTCGTTTACAATGTAATTATATTTTGATATTTCCATCCTGTGATGGTAATAATATAAGCTTAATATATAGAGAAAAGGGATTGGATAAGAAACTCTGGGAATATTATGAAAATAACATAAAAAATTTTGATTGCTTAACGATTGATTTCAAAAATCCTGAAATGAAATATAGAAAGAATTTTACACCCATAAATGACTCGCAGAGCGTCCCTAAATGGGACTACGGCTCCGCAGGCCAATCTAGAATTCACCAAAGGTTCACGAGGAGATTTAAAAATCCCGGTGTCAAAGACAGGCAAGGCCTACCCAGAGTCGAAGACGAAGACGATGACATCTGAATACGTCCTTAGAAGAAATAGAAAAAAAGGAGGTAAATCAACAAGAGGACCACCTGGTATAGGATTTAATCTAACAGAAAATGGTGATTATGATATTGCAGGGCACAAATTAGTTAATTAGAAAATCCTGGCGATGCTATTAATTTACAATATTTAACGTCAGCGTCCACAAAGTGGAATAGTGCTTTGCATGCTGCTGTGGATAAAGTCAACGATAATATGATTAAAAAAGATGATTCTCAAAGTATTCTAAAAATTGTTAAACCTGAACTCAGTAATATGATTAAAAAATATGATGCAGAAACTATTGTAAATATTGTTAAACCTGAATTAGAAAATATGATTACAAAACATGATTCTCAAAGTATTTTAAAAATCGCTAAACCTGAACTCAGTAATATGATTAAAAAAGATGATTCAGAAAGCGTTTTAAAAATTGTTAAACCCGAATTAGAAAATATGATTAAAAAAGATGATTCTCAAAGTATTCTAAAAATTGTTAAACCCGAACTCAGTAACATGATTAAAAAAAATGAGAGAGCTCCGCTAGCGAATCTAACCACTACAAAAAGATATATCGATATTGGTAATAGAAGATTAGTTAAAACTGCTAATGCAATTGATAAATATAATGTTGTCAATAAAGGACAACTAGATATTTAGGGAGAAAGGTTAATTAATTTGGAAACTGAATTCATGAAAAAAACGTCTTTGACTAGTGCGCGCGGAGCACTAGTCCATGAAATGGACGCTTCGCATGCTCATTATACTTTTTTACAGTTTGTAGGAAAAATTATTTTTATTAAGGACGTTCATGGACCAAACGGTATGGTTTAATAAAATGTGCAATTTTACCACCAAGAGGTTTGTATCACCCCGTTTTACCTGTTAAAAATAAATCCAAATCTGGCGGTGAAAAACTAACATTTCCATTATGTCCATTGTGTGCAAAATTAAATAATTCGTCGACTACGTCCACTCAAAAGATAAATGTACTCATACGGAATCTCAAAGAATTATCAGAGGAACCTGGTGTACAAACGAAGTAAAAAAAGCAATTGAAAAAGGATACAAAATAATACCTATTGATGAAGTTTGGCATTTTGAACAAAAATCGAGTTATTTGTTTAAAGGATATGTAAAAGCATTTATGAAAATAAAGTTAGAGACAAGTGAATGGAGAAATAATTTTGAATCAGAAGAAAAATATAGAAAAGCCGTAAAAGAAAATCTAGGTATTGAATTGGGTAAAATAGAAAATAATCCTGGAAAGAGAGCTGTTGCAAAAATCTGTGGGGTAAATTTGGTCAAAGACAAAATATGGGCGCAACAGAATATGTTACAGATATTAAGAGATTTTATGAAATTTTATTAGACGACAGACTTGATAATATACATGTCAATAAATTAAACGAAATAATATTTTAGAATACAAAGACAAAAAAATCAGTACACAATATAATCGAATTACAAGAGATACTAAAACTAAAGAACTTTTAAACAAAATAGAAACAAAAGAATTTGGTTTTGTTTATGACAAGAGAGTTATTCTAGAAAACTTTGATACAATACCATTTGGATATTAATCCTTTTTGTTGTTAATTAATAATTCTTTTTTATTGTTACGTAATTAATAATTTATTATATTATGTAAATGGAAAACTTTATAAAGCAGAGACTGGCTTCAACTTTAGACTAACTTCATCAGGCTCCAATGCTCCATACAGTTTTGAAATTAATTAAAAACTTACTATGTTAAGTGAATAGAATTCAATCAAGCTTCATGAGTCCAAGAATTTTACATTTTTTTTACATTCCTATTTGTTTTGTCTTGCTTTGATTTCTGGTGTATGCAATACAGTGCACAAATCTCACTTAGATTTTTAAGTTGTTGGTAACTCTGACTGTCAACTGTCAATCTAGTCCCGCATTTGCTTCTTCTCAATAGGAGCAATCGGACTTAGTTCATTGTAGATGACAGCTCAGTCGTAAGCGACCATTTGCATAATGCTGTCTAGTAACTTTTGTGTTACTGGGTTGGTAATAGTTTGACACCTGTCAAACTAAAGCTTGGTTAAAGCCAGAGATTTCTTAGTTACTAAGAAATCTCTGGTTAAAGCTATATATCTAATAGTCAGTGCTAATAGTACTATTAGATATATGGAGAAGCGCCATAGTTTAAATTAGATGACGGTTGAGGACTCCGCAATTTAGGTTGGCAGCAGTGTTTGGTTCTAACTAGGAATAAAATTAACCAGAAGAAATGTCACAATATTTTTAACGACGCGTTTTACTTTCGACAAATTGACACTAGATTTACCAGAATATTACAAGCTGCTTACTGTTTCCTTCATTTTCATTCAAGTCACACGAATTACAATTATAGTGAACCAAGGTTTTTATTGGCATCGACTATTTAAATTTGGCGCTTGCCTTTGGCGGTGGAGGACTCCAATGTCAATAAGGGTGGTTTTGCAAAATCAGCCTCTATGTCGCTTCTCTATGTTCGCTGGTTAAAGTTTGTTTATTCTAGTAGTTTTTTCCAACCTATGATATCAATCCATTCTGTTCTCCTTCTCCCAAGTTTACGAAACAAATGGCCCCGGTGACTTTTACAGTTCTGAATACAATATTTCGGCATTTTATTTTTTGAGGGTAAAATCTGGAATCAGCTATTCTGTACATTCTGTAAACCTGTAAACAACCCAAACTACCTGTGCAAATTAAAGAGTTTATTTCAGTTTATCTGTAGTTTATCGTTATCAACATGGCGATGGGTACGCATGCCAAAAACTGTAGAAATTTGAAAAAAAAAATTTTTGTAGATTTAAATGCATTGATAAAATCTCTAGTGGAAGTGCAAGAGTGTAGACAAGCCAACCGATTAACCATGAAACTTGCCAGCGTACGTATAGAAACTTTTAACAAACAATACTACGCCAAAGTCAACATCACGGGGAAAGCAATTAGAATTTCTCCTTATGATGTAAACATTTCGGACCAAAATTTTCGCCCCGTTCATCTGATAGGTGCTGATGACAGGGAGGACAGAGTCATTAAGATAAATACATACAATGAAGGAGTGTATGTGGTACATTTCCGAACAGATAAGCAGAGGGATCGAGCTATGAAACGCGTTAAAAGACTCATCGGCTACATAACATTCTAATCTATTTAATATACTTAATGTGGTTTTTACAGTTCTAAGTCCTCATCAGAGTCTACCTCATCTGACTCTACCACATTGGACTCTACCACATCGGACTCTACCACATCTGAATGAGAGACAAAGTACTCCAAATTAAGCCTTATTAACATATACATTAGTTTCAAAAAATGTTTTTTTTTTAATAAACCTTTGAAACGTATTTGGATGTATTCATGTGTGTGCTGAAATGGCCCAACAGAAAAAACAGGGTTAAAAGACGAATTTTAAGTGTTTTTAAATGGTAACTTTCCTTGGCCGAAACCATATTCACGTTTGATAAAACAGGATATATTTCTTAAAATTTTGACTCTTTTAAAAAACAAATTTCTCAAAAATTAAACTTTATTAACAAGTTACCTTGAAAAACAGGATAAAATCATCAAAAATAAAAATTATAATAAATGGTGATTGAACTAGTTGATTATTATTTAAATTTGGTAATCAAAAGTTTCAACTAAAGTTAACTGAAATAAAAGAAACAATAATAATGATAGTAAGTATAAAAAAGAGCAAAATCGCATATTCATATAATATTCATTAATAAATATAGTTTTACAGACAGGGTGTTTTATCTCGCCGGAAAAATCCATCAATTTTCATTTAAAATCGTTATCTACATGAGTTTGATATCATGCCTTCTATCTTATAAAACAGGTTTGTGAATTTGCTACGCATGCTACCCACTAGTCCACTTTGTGAAGGAATTAGATTCTGAATTTGTTTTATTATTATTATGTAATATGGTACGAACCCCTTGGTGGATAAACACCATCCGCCCTAAAAGCTAAGTACTTAAAAAAACGTCGTTGAATCTTCTCCAATGTGTCTATATGAATCCGAGAAAATGGAGACCAAACAGCACTTGCATCTTCAAGCTTGGATCGCACATAAGCAAAATATAAAACTTTCAAACAATCAAAGTCACTAAAACTACTGCCACATCTTAGTGTAAAACCGAGTGATTTGAGAGCATTGGCACATATATTATTTATGTGATTTACAAAAGAGAGTTTGGAGTCAAAAGTGACTCCCAAATCACAGAAAGAATCAACTCTAGTCAAAATGGTGTTATTGAGATCATAGGCACACAAGGTTTGGGTATTTTTGTTGAATGTTTGAACTAATACTCTTTGCGATGTCATTTATGTAAATCACGAACAAAAGAGGTCCAAGAACCGAACCCTAAGGCACTCCAGACAAGACAGAAATACTATCTGGATAAATACGATTTTAACAATGAAAGTAATGAAGCAGAAAACCCAAAATTACTTAATTTAACCAGCAAAACATCATGATTAAGTTTGTCGAAGGCCTTGGAAAAATCAGTATAGACGACGTCAACCTGAAGCATAGCATCAAAGCTTTCTGAAACAAACTGTGTGAATACACAGAGGTTAGATATGGTCGAACGGTTACTTACAAATCCATGTTGACAATCAGATATTACTACGAACAACAAAACAAAACAATAACAAAAAGTTATGTAAAACAAATTCAAAAACTTTAGCAAAGTTACAAATTAGCGAAATGGGCCTGTAATTCTCAATTGTATTTCTACTCCCTTTCTTAAAAATTGGAGAAATAATAGAATGTTTCCAGATATCGGGAAAGATGGCAGAATTTATTATTCAATTAAAGATGACTGATAAGGGATGAGAAAGCACCGAAGCACAATCAGATAATAAAAAACCCGGAATATTATCGTGACCACTCGTTAAGTTACACTTAATTTTTTTTAGCGCTTTAAACACATCTGCTTCACTTATCGTGTTGAATTGTATAAGATCATTGTAAGACTCACATACGAATTCATTCGACAAGTGTAAACGGTTTTCTTTGTGTTGAAGATTTAGATTAAGTTTGATTAGAAATCAAAACAAAATCATGTTGCGTCAAAAAATTGAACGTTTATTTTTTCAATTTATTGTCTTATGGTTTCTACTAGTGAAAAAAATAGTATATTAACCACGATTGCAAAGCCACTTCTAGACCTCGCGCTTCAGAGCCCTCGACGCTGCGCTCGGTCTAGAATGCTTGGCTTTGCAACCTTGGCTAATAATATACTATTCACACCCAAGCAGCAGTCCCCCATCCTTGAGTGGTTTTACTCTCCCAATAATATCTAAAGAAGAATTAAGAGGATCTATGGCGTTTAATACATCTGATTTAGTCTTTGAAACCGACTGAGTTTTATTTTTAGGCTGCACAATTACAGTTTTCTGAGACTTTTTTACCAAGGATTCGGCATACGATAATTTGGCATTTAATTCATCTTTATTTACCCCATTAGATATTTGTATATCAGAATTTTTACCGCTTTTCAACGTTAAATTAAGTTTCTCAAATTCTGACTTAAGAATAATGTTTTCATTGGTTAAATCGCTAATTTTTAACTCAAGTTCAGTAACTCTATAAAAGTTAAAGCACCAATATGCTCGATAAATAGCTGCGAAATGTTATCTACATGTTCCTTTACTATATTATTCATCATATTTTTTAACTGATCAGTCGAAATATAGGTATTCAGCGAAGAAAGAGAGGGGTTTTTATTAACAGCTGCTTTAGCCTCCAAAATTTTTCAGAGATACCAGCACATACTAAATGAAAACTACCCTCACAGTCCCTATGACAAGTAACATGGTTTTCAGTACGTGTATTGACTGTCCGATTACATTTTGCACATTTAAGAGCCATACTTATTAAAAAAAAAAACAAACTGAGAGTTTCGTGTTTTAGAGTATTATTAATGAACACCGCACCAAGTTAACAGCACTGCGCTCACGCTGTCCCCTCGATAGGGCAAGGTCGCAAGCGCACAGTAATAAGAACTATTAGACAAAAAGAAAAGCTGATAAGATAACGTCTCACTCGGAATCACCAGAAATCCAAAAATGAACCATATACCACCCCAAACAGGGGTCAACCCCGATATCATAACGCTCTCCCGATAGTCCACACCACTACACCCCACACTGGCTCCAAATAAAATTAAATTGTTAATAATATCTTAGTGAAAATTACTAAATCACAGACAGCACTACCACATGACCCCACCGCACCGCACCGGTCAAGGTATATCGAAACCGTATTCATATGTGTGCTGAAGTGGCCCAACAAAAAAAACAGGGTAGCTTCCTTAAAACTTTAACTTTTTTATAGGTACTTTGAAAAAACGGGATAGTAGATTCCATAAAATTTTAACTTCTTAAAAAGACCGTTAAAAACAGGGGATTTTTCGCACTATCGTGGAAAAAAGGAACGCGTCTCTTTGATTTGGAGCTATCGGACCGGTGACTTCGAGACTTTATATATATATATGCTCACCCCTGGCGTTGGAATTTAGAGAAAATAAAAACTTACTAAAAAAAAATATAGCAACGATACTTACCTACAACGTATACGTAATAAATAATAATGAAATACTAGGTGAAAATATTTGGCAATACACTGAAATTTTAAAAACTGGATTCTCAGAGGCCCCTGCCGATTAATTTTTAAATAAATTAGAAAGAATTTTCTTGGGGACCCTGGTCTTTAAATTTTAGAAGAATTTGAAAGAATCTTGGAGGCATTTGGTGTTTTGTTTGTGGCTAAATTTGAAAACATCTGAAAGTTCTTTGCCAAAATCAGTCTTATCTTAAAACCGAATATTCCGAAAAAATTTTCCGATGAGCATTAAAACAATTTGTTTTTCGAATCAGCTCATTGAGGTTTATATTTAAAGAATTTCTTGGGGATTTTTAAGCGATATTTTAAAAATCTCAATTTTTCAGTATCCTGAATGTTTTGACCGTTACTAGAAATTTCAAGAAACTTATAAAAGAAAAAAAAATTTTTGATTGGCAGTTTTCCTCTATCCCCGAATTTTTGAAGGAATTTTAAACAATTTTTCAAAAATATCAATTTTTCAATTTAGTATGCATATTTTTTCGAATATTTCAGATACCTATCCGAAAGAATTCACTTTAAAACAGCATTTTTCGTAAAACTTGTTCGTGGGGTACTAATAATTTACGTTTTTCGATCAGCTCGTCCAAATTTATATCAAAGAATTTTTTGAGAATTTTTAAGGGATATTTCAAAATCTCAATTTTTCAATATCCTGATTTTTTTAACCTTTCTCTAAATTTCGAGACATTGAAAAAAATTTCGTTTTCAAATCGAACTTTTCGTTAATCTTGGTCCAGGATGATTGAAAATTTATGTTTTTCGAATCAGCTGGTTGCGATTTTTATCTCCGATTTTTTTTAGAATTTTTAGACAGCTTTTCAAAAATCTCAGTTTTTCAATATACTGTACTAAGAATGTTTTTTCGACTTCTAGAGATATGTATCTAAAAAACTTTAATTTCAAACGGAATTGTTCCGGAAACTTGATCGAGAAGAATTTTTTGAGAATTTTAAGCAATATTTCAAAAATCTCAAATTTTAAATTCAAAATTCCTGAATTTTTTGACAGTTCCTCGGAATTTCGAGGTATTTAAAAATAATTTCTAAATCGAAGTTTTCGAAACTCATGCTCTGGGACCTTTGACACGTCTTTAGACAATTTTTCAATATAGCTCCCATATGAATATTTTTTAGTTTACAAAGAATTTTTTTATCGTTTCTAGAAATTTCAAGATATTAAAAAAAATCATTTTCAAATCGAAGTTTTCGAAAATTTTAGTCAAGGACCCGACACATTATGTTTTTCAAATCAGCTCGTCAAGATCTTTATCCCTGAATTTTTTAAGGGTTATTAGACAATTTTTCAGAAAGCTCAATTTTTCAGTATTGCCTAATATTTTTTCGAGCATTCGATATATCTAAAAAATCTCAGTTAACAAGTACTAGCCCCACCTACCTGCCCTTTATTTTCTAGAGGGTATATCATTTGCAAAATCAGTTTTATCTTAGGAAGTACTAGCCCCGCCCACCCGCCCTCTGTTTTCTTAGAGGGTATATTATTTGTCACAATCAGTCTTATCTTAGCAAATATAAGCCCCGCCCACCCGCCCCCTATTTGCTTACAGGGTAAATTATTTGCCAAAATCAGTCTTCTCTTAACAATTTCACAACATGAAACTTAAAACATGTCTAAAATGGTAAATTTGTATAAGGAAATATCGATTTTGCAATTACCATTTTAAACATGTTTTAAGTTTCTTCTTATGGAGAAAAGCAATATATATTAAGAAGAAAAAAAAATACAAAACATAAGCCCCACCCACCCACCCTATCCCAATTGTGACGCTTTTTCTTTGTTCGTCGTTAGTCAAAGGGGGCGGAGCTTAATTGCAAAGGCCGTATTTCCTTACAAAAATTTACCACCTTAAACGTTTTTCAAATATCTAAGAATAAAAAATCATCACAATTGAGATAGGGTGGGTGGGCGGGGTTTATATTTTGACTTATTTTCTTAATATAGATAGTATTCTTTGAACAACCCAATACTCAAAAACATGTTTTTAATTTCGTGTAAAGAAATACGTATTTTGCAGTTAAGCTCCGCCCCCTGTGTTCACGGCGAATCAAAAAAATCATCACAATTGAGACAGGACGGGTGGGCGGGCTTACATTTTGCCTCTCTGTTTTAATATGTGTAGACTTCTTTTCACAACATGAAACTTAAAACATATCTAAAATGGTAAATTTGTATAGGAAAATATCGATTTTGCAATTACCATTTTTAACATGTTTTCAGTTTCTTGTTATGGAGAAAAAACAATATATATTGAAAAAAAAAAATACAAAACATAGCCCCACCCACCCGCCCTATCGCGAATGTAACGCTTTTTCATTGTTCGTCGTTAGTCAAGGGGGACGGAGCTTAATTGCAAAAGCCGTATTTCGTTACAAAAATTTACCATCTTAAACGTGTTTCAAATATCTAAGAATAAAAAAAATCATCATAATTGAGATTATTTTTACATTTAGCCTTTTTCTTTTATAATATGTGTAGACTTCTTTTCACAACATGCAACTTAAAACATGTTTAAAACGGCAAATTTGTATAAGGAACTTTCAATTTTGCAATTAAGCTCCGCCCCATAATTTCAAAATCCATATTTCCTTGCAAAAATTTACCATTTTAACCATATTTTAAGTTTATTTTTGTAAAAAAATGACCGTGTATATTAGGAAAAAAAAGGCAAAATATAAGCCCCGTCCATCCGCCCTATCTCAATTGTGATGATGTTTTTTATTCGTTGTGAGCCAAGGGGAGGAACTTAATTGCAAAAACCTTAGTTCTCTACAGGAAATAAAAAAGATGTTTCTGAGTATCGTGTTGTTATGTATATTAAGAAAATAAAAGGAAATAATCTTAATGCTTAAAAAGTGTTGTGCGCTGAACAATAAGCCCAGTTCTGAAGGGCATGTGGCCCAATACATTTTTGTGCTGAAGTGGCCCAATAGAAAAAACAAGGTTAAAAGACGAATTTTAAGTGTTTTTAAATGGTCACTTTTCTTGGCCGAAACCGTATTCACGTTTGATAAAACAGGCTATATTTCTTAAAATTTTGACTTTTTTAAAAACGGGTGACTTCGAAAACCCGGGCAAATTCTTTAAAAATTTTAACTTTTCAAAAGTTACTTTGAAAACCAGGTTAAAATCATTAAAAATGTGTTGTGTTATAAAGGGGCCTTACTAGTAGTAGAGTTATAACTAAAAAATTTATTTAGGTTTTCAGTGCGATCAACATGGGAGTTTGGAACGTGCTTGGGAGTCAGTCAGTTGGATACAACTCCGAAAAAGACAACACTGTTTGAATGAAGAATATTGCGACTTGATACTTTCGTGTGCTGTGTCGAATAATCAGCCTGTTTTAAGTCTTACAACATAAAAACATTGTTTGTTGTTGATAATCCACGATTCGTGTTAATTAATAAAGCGCTGTATAAATCTGCAAGTTTGTTTACTGTATTCTCCAGACTTACAAAGTGCTCATTTAAATTTAATTGTGCCGCTTAATTTAAAAGTGATTCACGTTACAAATGTTCCGCTTTTCGGAAATACTATAAAACACCCAGAATGGCGTGTCATCGAAGCGAACAAAAACACATCAACCAATAAACGAAAAGCTCCCTTTTTTGCAAAATTTGTTATTGGCTCTGTTACGTGACGTGTTTAGAAAATCGTAAACATCAAGCTAACAAAAGCGCAAAAACAGAAATTAATTCTGGCATTGTGTTTACGGTATCATCACAGAATTTCATGCAAATTTTGTTTTTAACTCAGTTTGTCCCTCTAACTGTTTGTTTTAAACATCAAAGAAAGGACTAAACGTGTTGTTTTCTACGTTTTCAATACGTGGGCTGTTTTGATGTACATTTTTGACACAGAAAACGTGAAAAGGGTAATGGGCATATGCACCTGTGTTTACTAATCGACAAATTAGCATGAATTTAAAAAATCTCATTTTGACGGAAGCAAAAAGGGATGCGATTATCGAAACATGTCACGTAGCGTTACAGGTGTTTGGCGATTTGGGTGAACTGGTTTTTACTGAGCTGAGATAAAAAACACAACATAGATGAACTTCATGTGGGGTTAAAGTCACAAGATGAGAAATTTAATGTCTATATAACTTTGAATATAACTTTTTTTAAAGTATTTCAAAAGTATGTATGTGTACTGATTTGTATGAATTTCTGCATAGATCAAAGGTTCTAGTTCTCAATCTAGGGTACAACGATTTGTTAAAAATGTTCGTTCAGCTACGATAAACATCACAAAAAACTGGAAAATTCAGTTGTACTTTGGGGGTGAGGGAAGTTTGGTGTGATGTAGTGTAACATTCATGTGATAAATTTGGTAAGTATGAGTTATTATCGGTGATTATTACATTACCAAGCTCGGTGGGTAGGTAAAAATAAAAATACTGCTGCCTCAAAATCTCATGACACACGCGACCAACACAAAAACATCCTCAAATCGTGGATATCTCGTTGTCCGTCGTAACCGAGTCACGGACTATAAATATAATAGGGGCACATGTATTTTTGAGCACGAAATTAAAAAAATTTCGGGATTAAAGATGAGAAAGAGCGGTTTTATTTTCTCGGAATTGTATAACCTGTATCTGTTGCCGACGGAGGCGATATGACTCATGTGTATATATATTTAATGAAAACATATCGTTTTCTTTTCTTGGTTTAACGTCTTGTAGTTCAAACAATCGTTATGTTTATAAACTGGAATTGGAGGGTCTTAATTTGGGAAAAAGATGTTTTCTTGAGAAAATTGTGTTGACGTCAGGCCGGGGCACCGTATTGGAGCAGTGTGATTAGCGGAAAATCAATGTAGTTTGTTGTGTAGTGTGCTTTGATCTTTTTGTTGTTATTTTGGTTAATAAACATGTTGTTAATTATTTGTGAAATTGCTTTATCGTGGTTCTGCATATTTATGGGGGATTCAGGCTACATTAGCGAGGTTTTTCCGCGAGGAATATCACAGGAGGTAATTTTCTTGTGTGAATAATTCATCGAAGAAAGTTGTAAGTTGTTTGTTTTCTTGGCATAAATAAATGTTAAATATTAAACCGGCAAATTGGCCCGTTGGACGCTTGCTTACATCCCTGATTGTGACGTTTGTGTTGCGTTTGAGGCAAAGGGAATCATTTAGTTTAAAAGCGCTTTTCTCGAAATTGAATTGACTAATTGAATTGCGAGTGAAAAGCGAAATCCCTCTGTTGTTCGCAACGCGGTAAATAGCATCAAGTTTGAGAGCCGCTGTGTGGGTTGTTATTTTTGCCAGATGGTGGCGCTCTCTCGCGGATGTAAATTAAACGGCGGCGAGTGTGTCCTGTTTTACCGACCGTTCGAGTCTCGGGTGCGGCATGGTGGCATGCGCTGCTAACTGGGCAAACGGAAGGGGAGCATAGTAATTGCCAGCAGCTATACACCTACCATCAACGGCATCGCCCGATCCCGAAATAACGGTGTTTAACCCACGGTAAGTTGCCCATTTTCATGTAAATCACACCCAACATCCAGAGCACCCGAGAGAGTATGACAATACCCTCGAAAAGGCAGTGCCGGAAAAAACTGAAATAGTTTCACCTAGTGGGTATTTGTTGAAGCGTTGAGCCATGACAGTGTAAATTGAAGTGCTTACGGACCCGTTGACGTTAACCCGAACTGTGCAGTGGACGATTGTGTGGAAGAGGCGCCGCCCCCGCAGAGCCTGGAAAGCGCGGCATGTACGTATTTGCCTGTGGTGACGGGGGCATAGCGTTGTGCGTAGAGCATTGGCGATGCCGCATCCTATGCCGAGCTCCCGCTAGCGCCCTATCAGTAGTAGTTGCATGCCCCGGGTCTGTGTCGCTCCATGTGCAGACGTAGAGCATCCTGTTGGGTTGTGGTTAACTGCGGTTGCTAACCACTATCGCTTTCGTAGACGCTTACTCACCGGCCCCAGGCCGCCTCACTGATCCCCCGATTCTTTGCAGCTAGACTGAACAGGGAAAATGCGCGAGTACAAGATCGTGGTCTTAGGTTCGGGCGGTGTAGGGAAGTCCGCACTCACCGTGCAGTTCGTTCAGGGGATCTTCGTCGAGAAATACGACCCCACGATCGAGGATAGCTATAGGAAGCAAGTGGAAGTGGACGGGCAACAGTGTATGCTCGAGATCTTAGACACCGCAGGCACAGTATGACCCCCCCGATATACCAAAATCAGACCTAACTATTTTTACTTTTATTTAGGAACAATTCACGGCGATGAGGGACTTATATATGAAGAACGGACAAGGATTCGTTTTGGTTTATTCAATTACGGCACAATCAACGTTTAATGATCTGCAAGACCTCCGGGAACAAATTCTCAGAGTCAAGGTACATACTGCTTAATTGAAATTAATTATACGCACTCGAATCGTATGACTAATCGTCTCTAAGGTCGCAATTTAGATCACGTTTTTTATTTCTATACATAAACATGGCTATTTTAAGATCGTCATAGACATTGTTTCACCAGCTGATTCAAAATATTGCAGGAACTATATTGCATATCAAACAACACCCATATCAGCGTACTTTTATTATCAAAATAAAATCAAGGTCAGCGGGAGATTGATCACTCTTATATATGTAATCTGCATATTGGAAATGTTGACTCGTTTTATTACTCATTTTCACCCTTCTCACTATTAACAAGTCATTATTTCTTTTAAAACCCCACACTTGTTTACTTTTGTCTAAATATTTTAGTCACACCCTATTAACCAACAGATGGGACTGATTATATGTGGCTATTATTTCAGGTGATTACTAACATTTTTTTTGTACCGCATTTTCTACATGTAATCACCGAAATTGAACCGGTAATCGCTAGCATTACATACTAGTCGATTCCGTGTTTTTCCAAACACACCTGAACTTATTTTCTCTAAAAATAACCACACCAGAATGCTTTCGCACTAAACCGAGTGATAACACTCACGAGTTTTATTTAATACTCGATTTGTTCATGTTTATCATTACGCCAACTGTGGTTAGTTAAACTAAAACACTCGGACGCGGTAAACCCCACTTCGTAAAAGTAAATATACACCGACCACAATAACACGTGCACCATGAAAACCAAATTTCCCCTAACTGTAAGAAAAAATTTTCATTTCTTAAAAATGCAGTCACTTTTAACCGTTCTTCCTTGTTTTTGTTCAAACCGTCCAGTTTGTCATCTGGTTGCATAATGCGTGTAGTAGAAATAATTGTGGTAATCATTTTTTGTGCATGCTGCTTTCACACAGACTCAAAATGTTGTTCTGTACCAATATTGACAAACAAATCCATCTTGGAGAAACTTTCTCTTTGCATCCTGGGGTGTTTGTGTTCGTTTTATTTCAATACTTTTTGTGTGAGACGGCGTAACGTCTGCTAAGAGATCTTTTATTTTGTCATTGTAGAATATCAAGTTGACCATGAATCGCGCGAATTTTATCAGAGACACTGCTAAAAACAAGTCTTTTGCATTAACTCGACGTTTAAAACTGTCTCACTGGTTTGTTTCTAGAAATATTTTTTGTTATGTGTTTTTCGTCCGATTTTGTATCTTATGTTCTTTCAAGTATGTTTTCATAGGTCAGTAGTTACTTTTATAACAACGACGACGAAAGACCTGTCGTTAAAATATATATTTTTTTAATATTGGTTTAGTGTGAACCTAAAAATATGCTATTACTTTGTGAAACACAAAGCCATGCTAAAATAGCTTCCAATGAAAACCAGTGTGAAGTTGTTTTTGAACCAACTGTTGATCATTGATTAAAAATGTAAAGCCGCAGCTACATGATAAGTCAGGTATTTATAGAAACGAATTTTAACGAGAGCAATTTTTTAATATTGATATCTGCGTTATGTGGACGAAAAAATGTAATTAAGGTGAAATACCCATAGTATAAATTATTCCTGATAAAAATGAAACAAGTTTTCCAGTGTATGTACGTTGATGTTATTTTTTCACGTTACGGTTGTACTTGTTATTCTATAAAAATCGTAATTGGAAAATGGCATTATCTACAAAAAGATAAATCTAGTGTTATTACGTACTTAAGTTACCATAATATACAAATATAAACTAAAAATGTATGTAGATTGCAACAAAGGATCTTCCATATCAACAAACTAATTAATACGGTTATATTAAAAAAACTAGATATCAGTGATTGCTGAACTGACAAATTACTTTTTTTATTGTTTTATTGTAAACATATAAAAAATTCACTTTTATCAATTTTAGAATCTCTCGAATTCTTGTAGTGGTTGTAATGGTATGAAAACACTGAAAAATCACGTAGTGGTGCTCTGACCTTTGAACTTGAAAACAATTGTTGCAAGTTTTACTAATGCAGTGGTGATAATCACAGATAAAATGGCTTTGTTATACAACTAAGCTTTTTATAAGTCAGCGTAGATAAATTTTTACAGCTTTATTGAATATTTTCATTACGTACATAATTTGTAGTCAGTGTACAATACTTAATTGCTAGAAAGATTAGTTGATTAGTCGGTGATGCATAGTTGAGCATTTGCAGTCGTTTTTTATATTTATATTTACTGCATTGCGTGTAATCAGCATGGACATGACTCAGTAATTGATTTATGATCAAATTATAACCTGTGTTTTTGACACATCTAACTATAGGTTATCAAATAAAGGGATAATCAGGTTTCCACTAAAATAGATTTTTGATGGTTTCATATTGTTATAGCAACATATATGTGTTACATGTCTTATTTTGTTATCATCAGTCATCATAATAGTATATTAACACGATGTATTGACAGTAATGGAGTTTCTTGTTAAGATTTATGTTTTGTGCGACATAATTAGTATGGCGTTGATAGAGGGTTTTGTAATATAATTGAGTAAAATAAGTATGTAAATTTGATGTTTTAGTTTTTATTTTGTTTTCTCTTGGAAGAAATATATTAAGCGTTTGAGGTACAGGTTTGAGTATTAGTGTTGACCTGAACGGAACGACCTTGAGTTAATCTCACAGTGATTTCTTTCAATGCATGTCAGTATTGCAAAATTTATTTATAAATTGATGGTCGTACTTTTGCAATGTTTATAGACGAGCAGCAGCAGCAATCGCTTTCCAGAAATATGCATTTAAATAAATAGTCATGTGTGGAAAGATAAACACTGTCGACGATACATGTACAGGAAATGATCTAGTTACTTATCTGTTTGTTCATTGATTCTCTTTTATTTTGTGACGGTCGCATTGATTTTTTTTTGCGTAGGATACTGATGATGTCCCCATGGTGTTAGTGGGAAACAAGTGTGATCTGGAAGAGGAGAGGGTGGTAGGCAAGGAACAAGGAAATAACCTATCGCGCCAGTTCAACTGTGCCTTCATGGAAACCTCTGCCAAAGCTAAAATAAATGTTAATGATGTGAGTTGCATGAAAGATGGAAGTTTGGTCGTTTATGTGTTCGTTTTTCAGATATTTTATGATTTAGTTCGACAAATCAACAAAAAATCACCTGAGAAGAAACAAAAGCAGAAAAAGAAACCAATTTGTGTGCTTCTATAAAAATATGATTTGGAACCAAAAAGTACATTTAAAGATTTCAAAGACAATTGTAAGACAAAGTGTGTAAGCGTGAAGGCAAGTGCGGACGTGGAGAGCCTCTTCCAGTGGAGGGTAGTTAGCCCTGTATATTCTTTTTATTAAATATTTAAGTATTTGTATTTGTAATTAATTATAAAATATATGTCAGTTAAATTTTTCCAAAAATCAAGGTTGTTATTGACTCTAGATGCAATTCTATTTAGTGATAGAGTATTTTGAAATCTACTGCCAATTATGTGGTGTCAAATAGGGATAGCGATATGTGAATCAGTGGTATGTGCTACTTCTGAGCCAAGACTATCGACGGGACAATACTTCTTGACCACAGCATTTTTAGGGTGTTTTATATTCCTATCTAGAATAAGCCTAGTATGGTGGGTCCTCGAAACATCGCGGATTCCTTGTGGTAGTTCCGGAGTAAGCACTGGAGCTGTTGCATGAGGGTGTTCATGCGACCGCTACATCCTAGCCGCATATACATACGTTATGACCACTTCGTTAAATACGTTTTAATTGTGTTAGATGTCCTTGTAAATGGATGATGTAGGTTAGCGCAACAGTATATCATTAATTAGTACTGTGGTGCTTACTCCGTTAGCAATGTGGTAGACTTAGGCTCTGCGGGGTGGTTTTTCCATCTCACAAGTGCCAAGAAACATTTCTCCAGAGTCACAACTTCTTCTAACATATTTGTATTTTTATTATATATTTGTAACTGATTTCATTAGTGTTGAAATTGGAAATTGTGATAACTTTTCTGGTTAGCTTTTGTGTATGTGGAGGTTAAATGCTCTTATTTCGCACCTGCCTTTTGCACAACCAGCGGTAAAAACACAATGCAATGCAAATACCGCTTGCCAATACTTTGAAAGATTATGTTAAAATATAGTTAATATATACATATTATATATTTTGTAATTCACCGGATACTTTTCTAGATTCCAATCACAAGATATATGTGTCAGTTGAAAAATTTCTTCCCATTAAGCAATTAAAAAGAAATTGTATAAATCAATCTTGTTGTTTTTTAATATAAATGTATGTTAATGTATTCTAATATTGACGCTAAATATAATTAAAATTCAATATTTAACGTCTTGTCTATAAGTGTTCCTTGTAATATAAGACGACTCTGACCAACATTATATATATACCTTTTTACTATTCTACTTTTGTACATAAAATATATCATTAATGACAATATGCTGTTGCTAGACAAATTTTCTTTTGAACACAGTATTCCAAATCTCCCGGACATCTGACCCTACGCCGCACCCATCCCCCACCCCTCCGCAAACATAGTATTTCGGCGACGTCTGGTCCTCCAGGCTCCCTTCGCTCGAACACGTTCTCGCGCACTTCTCGCACTCCTGCGAACGCCGTCCCCACCGGACACCGCGTCTCGAAAACCCCGCCGCCCCACACGCGGTACCATCGGCTTCACGAACTCCCCGCCTTCTACGAAGCTCGAATTCGCTAGATATTTCCGGAACAGCCCCCCGACTGCCTCCTCGGGGGTGGAATATTTGGTTTGCGGTCCGGCCGAGTCCAGATTAGTTTGCTGCGTATTGGGATAGGGCGTCTGCGATGTTAACTGGGTCATTATTTTATGAATTCGCTCTCGGAGCAGATTAAGTTGGTGGACGGGAGAACGCTGGCCCGAACCGAACTCGTTGTGGGGAAAAGAGGTCGCTTTCAGGCTGTTAATTAGTTGCGTTAAACGGTGCATTTGCGCCCCTATAGAATCCCTCCGGCTCCAGCCGTCTGAGACGAAATTTATTTTCGTCGACTTATCATAGTCGTTAAATCCTGACGCGGGGATGCCACTCTGGACAGTTGATGCTGCGGAGTAATCTGTCATTTTCGTGCCATCTTCCACACTGCCGCTCCGGTTTAATGAATAAAACGAGTCTGCAAAATCTTCTGCCTTCTGTTCACAATCCCACCCTTCCGAGGGAAACACGCAACGCTGCAGTCGCGGCTCATACACCTAATTGAAAATGAAATTTATTAGTTGATCGCTGCACAATGCGCATCAATCATTTTTTGACAACGCTACCCGAAAAACAAAACCCTCAGCAAATTTTCATTAAGTAAAAGCACATTCGACATGATTTAACCACACTGTCTGTCTGTCTGTCTGTCTGTATATTTGTGCTTTTGATTCATCCCTTCTACAACAATACACACACGTTGTTAGTAATCTTAGCTTAATACAGTAGTCTAATATGTGTAACTTTTTAACTCAGATTATTATGCCTAGTGTTCTTATTAGTCATTTTCCTATTTTCTATGCATTTTTTTTTTCAACAAAAACCGGTGTTTCCAGCAAAACATCAAAAACAACGTAGAATTTGACTTTTTACCCTTATTTTTAACCCCATTCTTGTATCCCAGTTAAGATGTTCACAACCACTAAATTAAGAATTTTAGGTTTTATGTGGAATAATTGGGGATTGCCCTTAGGTAATTTCAAAATTTTATACTCCCAAAAACCATCAGTTAGCATAGCTACATTTAAAAAACAAAAAATTGAATTTTAACCCCTTAACTGATCAAGTGAGTTGACCAAAATGGTCCAAAAATTTTTAAAATTTACAAGATGCCAAAAAAAAACCTCGTAAGTGGATTCGCTATTTATTATTTTTATTATTATTATTATTGTGCTTTTAGCTGAGGTTTTTACAGCCTATTAAGGTCACGGAATATATCTCAGAAAGACTTTAATTTATATACTATATTATAAAACTCATACTAACGCATGACTGAGGTGTAGCTTAGTTTAAAAGTGTTAACACTTTCAGATTCAATAAGATATGCCGGTAGAGCGTTCCATGCGCTAAAAACCCTGTTGTTTAAAAAATTTTGTCGGGACCGCGATTTATACAGTTCATGGGTTAGCTTTAACTGATGACTACGCAGATCCTCGTGATGGTTGATATTACACATAGTTGCTAAATCAGCAGATAAGTACCTGTTCAATATTTTGAAGGTCCACACCAGATCACAAGTAACAGACGCATATTCCATCACTGGTCTTACATATGCTTTGTAAAGAGTCAGAAATGATTGTTTTGATAGTTTCAAAAGCTTTTGAAAGCAGATATATTATTGTATTAGCCTTTTTCCCGATTGACAAAGTGTGCGCAGACCATTTGAGATCATTTTGAAATATAATACCGAGATTAATATATTTATCAACGTTTTTGATAGAAACATTTCCAATGTGATAATTTAAGCATGAATTTTTTACGCCTACGTGAAGAACAACACATTTTTCTTTATTAATTGGGATTAACCAGAGATCACACCATTGTAGCACTATGTTTTAAATCGTCAGCGATGGTATCACGATTACTGTTAGGGTTGTTAAATATTTTAAGATCGTCAGCGTATAAAGCATGATCAGACTTTAAAAGACGGCTTAGGTCCGAAATGTACAATAAAAATAGGACAGGGCCGAGAACGCATCCCTGTGGCACACCAGATATGACGGGATAGATATTAGAAAAGAATTTTCCAACTTTGGCAACAAAATGTCGATCTGATAGAAACGCGGATATCCATTTTAAAATATAACCTCTAATCCCCAGTTGGTTTAATTTATGTATAAGTCTTGATGAGGGACCTTGTCAAAGATTTTTTAAAAATCGATCTAGAAGATTGCTATTTGAGAAGAAAATGATCCTTTTTAAATTGGTCAACGGCAGATAAATAGACCGACCACCTATGATCCCATGCGGCATGATTACTGTTTATTTGTTGAGTACTTTTGTACTGGAACGTTTTCCATTTATTTAAATAAAAAAAATCTTATCGGAAACCTCAGGTGAGCAAATTTTTAATAATATCCTTTGATTTTTTAGTTAATCCATTTTTCGGCTTAACCTTTTTTAATTGTGGACTACGTCCACTTATGAGCGAAGCGAATTCGTCGCCTCGTAAATGTTCATTCAACGATTTAATAATCTGAGTTAAAAAGTTACACATATCTACATATATCAGCAGGGGCGGCTGGTGCCAAAATTACGTCTACAAACACACTGGACATAGCAAAATAGTAATTTTCAATATTTAAAAAATTATCCGAAAATTTTGTCATAATTATCAAAACTAATTTTTTTATCTCGCTCCATTTGATTAAAATGTATCAAAACTTACATTGTGTGTCTTGGATATATGATATGCTATTGCTGATAAAATCCGGGCACAGGGAGCGGAATCATGGCTGATTTAAACGTTTTGTTTACACCGTTGCCATAGAAACCACACGTCCTGGCCATTTCAGTCAATGGGACTGCGGTCCCGTTCTGATAGTGCTCAGCAGGAGTAACTCAATCGCGTGTTTTAATTTTCATGCTGCGCGAAATAGACGTAAAACAGGTATGATAAATTCTTGGATAACCTTCTCGGTAATACGGACATTCGAAAACAACTAAACACCGCCTATACTAATAATATTCGGGCACATAACGCAAGGGTCGACAAAAATCGCCATATATTACGTCGATTGATAATGTGCATACAATTTTGTGGATTGTTTGAACTTGGTTTACGCGGACATGATGAAAGTAGGGAACCACAAAATCCAGGTATATTTCGAGGTCTGATTGATTTTACGGCTGACATGGACTCTGCTTTGTTACATCATTTGAAAGAAGCAACGGTTTTTAAAGGAACGCCTAAAACTGTCCAAAATAAACTTTTAGATGCCATCAACGTAAAATTTAGACCGAAGGCAAAAAGGTATGTGGAGAAATCCTTTTTTACTTTTATTGGATGTATTTTTGTATTAATTTCCGTCGCACAATTACGTCTACTAACTGGTAATAACAACCTGTTTTATATCTTCATATTTAACTTATCAATCAAATTTCAAAAGGTTACGAGCCGCCACTGCATATTAGACTACCTAAAATGATTTATTGCTTCACATTAGAATGACCACCCGATGACATAAATTTGACGTTTTGAACGTTATAGTAAGGTATAATTTATGCGAAAGGCGGCACCGTCTTAACGGGGTCCATTAATCGAGTAAGCGGCACTTGCAGAGCCCTATGTCTTAAAAGACCTAAGTCTGTGTGGCATTTTCGGATCTAGTTCGACATTCTGAAGGACAAGAACAACGAGAAGTTCTGGAAAGAACTTGAGTTCGGAACCGGACCACATCTTTTGATTCCAAAAGGTGGCATTTCCTTAAGTGAAACTTAGTAGTTCCGATCTTGGTCGAAATTAAGTGCTGAGCATCCTTAATCGAGGTGCAAAGTACAGGAACTTAAAAATAACAAATGTGTGCCTATAAAAGTAAATGAGCTGCAGCTGTGAGTTCAGACAGGTCGTAATATCCAATCAGAAACTTAGCAAATGTCTATCTAGGTACTTCTACCACGCCTCCTTGATGCATGCAGCAATTTTCACAACCGCGCTTACAAATTTACTAACCAACACACTAACAGTTTTCTCGGAGCTTTGCCATTTTTCTGTACAACGAGTTGGAGCAGTACGAGGTTTTAAAAATTACAAAATAAATCACCGTGAAGCCGGCACATCAGTTGAATTCTTCGAATATTTGCACACATTTTTCGGCCGGCTTTGTACATATTTATAAATACCGTTTTATTAAAGAGTGCCGCATAACGCAGGTATTACAAAAAATATTCCAAACATGATAAACAAACTTTTTGTTACTGCACAATAATAAAAACAAATATAGCTGGAAGGTTGTATCGAGGGAAAAACAACATTCTAAACGTTCGTCGATTTGTTTCCCTTTTGAAACAACTTGATCATTGCTGTTGTCTTATTTGTGGTTAAAATTTAAAATGTTGGTGTGGATTTATTGCAAGTGTTGAAAGTTTGATGGGGAGATAGTGGGTGTATCTGGAGAGATAAATAATGACATAAGCTTCATGTAGGTTAGATCTTGATGCTGTTTACACAGTTCTAGAGTAATACATCAAGAGTTAACGAAAACCTGCTGTACAAAAGCCATTAAAAAAGCATTTGAATGATAGAAGTGCGTTGTGAAGGTAATTAAGGGGATGTTAGAAGACTCAGAGTGAATAAAACATGAGACAGAAACTATTGCTTGTGATGTCTGATCTTCATATTTCACGCTGCATTGTGCTTTCATTTCGTTGTGAATTTTTAATCCCGGCGCATCCACCAAACGAATACACTTCCAACGTGCATTCGAACGACAAAACATATGAATTGAAAAGGTTATCTGAAAAATAAAGTGTATAAATTCTTACTAAAACGTGATCGCAATCTTTGTCACACTGCGTGTATCAGAAAGAGACGGAAAATGGCTTACGTCGCATTTTCTTTCCACTACGTTTGGTAAAAATCTAAAGGGATGCAATCTGTTTTTTCCAACAAATATATATTTTATCGTAAAAAGCTAATTGTTTTCGGACATTCGTGAAAATATTTCGGTTGACGTTTGAGTGAAATATATATTTAGTATAAAGTTTGGGGTTGAACAGTGAATTGCACGTGACTAATAAATAGTGAACGACAACCGGATTTGAAACTGTCGTTTTATCAAAAATTTTATGACGTCGAACTCTTGATTAAATAATTGGGGGAATAAAACTGTTTACGATTTTCACATGAAGATTTATTAGAAAAATTACGACTCGCAACATTTTTATGGAGGAAATATTTTAAAATAAAATTTTAACGAGCATTATATTTTCCATTTTGTGATACAAGTTATTTTGATCAATGGGGTGGCTTGTCATGACGAATTAATTTGATTTTGTAGCTACAGAGGGGATTTTAGGGTGACAGAGAAATATAACAGTATTAACCGTTGCATTTGTTTCGTACACAAAGATGTAGCAGCCGTTAGAGTCACAAAGAACAAAGGAATTTGACGTTGATACTAATTGTTTCTGTACAATATGGATAAACGCAAATTGTACTGTCATCAGGCCTGCTCAATTTAGCAATTTTCGCACAATTAGTTCTGCGAAAGCAGGTATTAAGACAAGCCGAAGCCGAACGGATTTGCGTTAACTGTAATTTCATTTTCCGAGTGAACACAAACAAGGAAAGACTTCAAAAATCGGCTTTCGAGACGTATGGTTGGAGTTTCGAGTTAATTATTATTAGACGGAGATAATTGACGAAGATTGAATGACTAAAGTACAAATTTTTAAGAATTGTGAAACTTCCGCGGTCGTGGAATATACAGGGCATGTTGTTTCGCTAATCCTGCGCTTGCTGGTAACGTTGGCACAACTCCCATTCGTTACTCGTGACACTTATTGCGAATTTTAATTGTGTTTTAACGTGGTGGAGTAGTTTTGTTACTTTTATAGCTGCAGTCAAATTCCAAGGTCACGCGTGTAATCATCAGTTATGTGTAATACGGATAAGTACGAGATAACGCAAATTATGCTCACACAAAGCCTGTCCAATTTAGAAATTTTCTCGTAATTAGTTGGGAAAAAACAGGTGTTAAGATAAGTTGCAGCCGATCGGATTTGCTTTAATTGAATTTTTCTGCTTGAATATTGTTTATGTAAAAAGGGGCTTTTAATAAATCGTCTGCAACTTCGAGATCCTTAGGAAGTTAGCTAAGGCACGACCTGGAGTAACCATATTATGAAAACTTGGAACATTTAAAGTTTGATCTAAAAACATATATTCATTTTTCACTATCTTAGCGAAAGCCAATTTAACTTTGAATGCACGGTTTGAGGATGTAAGGGATGTATAATAGCCCGATTCAATTTTAATTCTTAAATGGAGTCCTCATTTTTCTAAATGTAATATAACGTATTTTATATTGAAATGCAAAGTTGAGGTTCGGCTTATTCAATTTAACGCTAGCAAGCCTTTACGAATCTTAACGAGGTATAAAGCAAACACCATTAAAAAGTCCAGCATTTCTGCTTACTGTGTCAACTCTTCATAAGCGTGCACTGGGAGACCCATTAAAGAAGGTGAGACACATTTCTGGCTATATACCACAGAAGAACGCGGATTTAACACCACTCAGTAACAAAGGTCATTATGCCATTTTTACACAGTTGGTTCTGAAACTTTTCTTATAAATTCTCTCATCGCCTCGATTTTTTAAATCCGATATTTTTTCTGCTCCGCAAGTTAATTATGAAGAGTGCACGACCAGATAATATTGCCAAGGAAATCAATAGCATCAAAACTGATATGATATGATAAAATAGCGCACGCAAAGCACACGGAATTCAGAATTATAACGCTCATTATCGCCTAACGAGCGCTAAAGCTTTCGCACTAATCATCCTAACCTATGTTTTAATCACATCGAATTTTAATAGATTTCCTGTTTTAATCTAAATAAAATTTCTCTCTAGCATTTTTATCGTCGTCGTCGTCCCCTAAACAACTCCATTACACTTTTTAAAGTCACAAATACCCGGCGGTTGCCTCAGGCAAAGCCCCTCTTTCTCATTTTGATAATTTCAATCAATGTTTAAGCTGCGTGGCGCTGACACTCTTAAAATAACTTTTATTAAAAATAATGGGCTAATTGGCAATGTCGCCACTGAAAAAAAATAACTCCGCGAGTTATTACCTTTTATGATTTAGCCGCAGGCTTTTTTCACCAACAACAAACGTTTTTCCTAAATAACGTTGCCGTTTGAAACGGATAATTACAGAACCAATTGCAGCTCTAAACCGCGGTTTTATTTTTAGTTCGTCGACTCTTCTTCGCATTGATTCGTTTTTGATTTTTTAAAGTCAGGCGACCTCCAGTATCGAAATAAATCGGATTGTTCGGCATTTTCATCATTTTTATGCTTCGTTAAACTGTATTAAACATTAAGTGCCGAAATCACGAATTAGCTGATGCCAGTTCGCAGCGAACACCGCGCCAGGGAATTATTACTTAACAATAAGAAATCGGATTGTTCCTGCTCAAATTTTCGTGATTCTCTTCGTTTCCCAGATTTTCGCAAAATGCACTTCACTGGGTACTATAAAGTCGCAAATAAACGTTCAAAGGTGGAATTCTTAATACTTTACAATTACTAACACGAAGAGAAACAATACACGCCATATTACCAAACGGTTTCGTGAGTAAAACGATTACTAGGTGATCTATCTCTTTTTTGGCGGGAAATTTAAATTCGCGTCCGTCGTGGCGGGAGATTCAAATTTTTACTCGCTGTCCAACGAAAAGCAACTATCAAGTATTACGTTTCACGTTTTTACTGTGAATGTAGTACCTTTTCTACTCACGAGTAGAAAGTACGGCTTTACCGGACCTTGAAATGATTCCTACTTTCTACCATAGTGCATTTATCTGTTCTAGTAATTTATCTTAAGTATTTTTTGTGAGTTTTGGTCGGATTTATTGAGTTTTTCCATTGCGCTGTGATTACGTGCCGCATTTTCTACTATTGCGCTATTATGTTAAAAAAACTGTATAGGACGAGACATATAATCGTTAGCAAAATATGATGAATTTCCTTGATGTAAATTTTTCTGCATGAACGGTCAATTTCATTGGTTTATGACGAGTTGGTTTGTTTTATATTTATTTTAATTAGCCCGAAGCGTGGAGCTTTCAAAATAATGACGAGTTGTTTTGTGTGCTTTCATCTGCATATTTTTATGTCGCTTTCGTTATATCAGCCTAGTTAGCTACATATTAAACCGATGAAGTTGGGAAAGTTTAGTGGTGTGACAGAATGAATAAATTAAAATATTTGATGGGAGGTGGAAGAACAAAGTAGGGATGAATGCGTGATGTTGTTCCTCGTGGTGTTAATCTTGTTAGGGTATTTACCCTAAGATTTGACACAGTTGCCGCTTTTTGGCTATCTCGAGTTCCTCAACGTTCAAAGCAATAATAGGGCTCCTTTCACTTTTAACTTAATTAGAGAAAATTATTGCGTAGAGAACGCGATGCCGTTTAGAGAATTTAGCTCTCAATATGAAGTACGTCTCGAGGCTACGAATGAATATTGCGAAGTTTTTGTTTCACGTACTTGGAAATAAATTGTTGAAGAAAGTGCAGCCGTCGGATAAATCGATAATAACCGGTGCCTTGCGTAATTTTTCAAGAAATTACGAAAATCCCGACTCCATTAGGGTAATTTGTCAGAAATAATTGTACGTAATGTTCTGAAATACAATTGCATAATGGTTCGAAACTTAAAAGTGCCTCCCCAACATTAATATGCTTGATGCAAAAAGCCTTTGTGGCATTTGGGAATTAACAAGCAACTGGAGCTTTTTGCTTCTGTTGCTACCACTCCATATTAGCTGTGTGCACAAGAAATGAGATGTCAGTACCTAGCGCTACGTGATAAAATTTGTAACCCCGCGAAGTGACTCGGCTTAAATTTCGCTGGACTGAGCCAAACGCGCCTCTATTTAATTCAATTTAAAGCTGTGGTTTGATTGTAGTTTATACCACCCTAACGTACGCACAATTTCACTAGCCACTCAGCCCTTAAGGTTCAATAATAAAAAAATATTGCTTAAAATGGTCGTTCGTGCGCACATGCCGACAATAGAAATGGATACGAAATGGGATGTAAAAGGAATACTTAGATGATTTTATGTTTTTTTACGATTCGAACAATGTCTGCATCAGCGTTAATATTTTAGGAAAATGATTCGCCGAAGGTCGAACTTGAAGTGTGATGGATTTAACGCGAATCCCACCGACTGCGCCAACCGAATTACACGAAAAGGGTGTTTGTTGTATGCAGCCTTCTCTACTTTACATTTTCATCCACACAAAAACGGCAAAAACAAAAAAGTGCATGTGCAACCCAGAGCAACATTCTTTTATTTAATTATTATTTTAACACGGACTCTTCGGGAGAGCGCTACTTTACAAACGAGCGCAGGACTCATTAGGGTTATTTTTAGTAGAAAAAGATTTTTCGGGTTGGACGTTGCGACCCACAGACAGACAGACTTCGTAGGCAATTAGCGTTGGCGCTTCTTCCTTGAGAAAAAGCACCTCCGCGTAATTGCGATGTGCGTACGGTCCTGATTAGGGCGCGGGGTTAGGGCAAAGATCAGCGACGACACGGAGATATTAGCGTATTGTGAATGTGGCTCACCAGGCCCGCAGTGCAGCGAGAGGGCACCCAAACGTACGCTTGCGCCGACTCTGGCACCGGGACGCATTTGTAGAAGAGGCGGCAGTCCCTCGGGTACAGTTTCTTGGATTCCGGGCACACAGAACCTCCACCTTCACATACAGAATTCATACATTTAGTACATGCCTGTTGGTACGGACGAGACGGACGCCGCTGCGTCGCTTTACATAATCGCTATTACCGACATACTTTTCAAAATACTCGAGATATGCCAGTCCCCACAATTCTGAGCCTACGCCGCTAATAAGAACTTAAATATTCACGGCGGACTGATATGGGACGATTGTCACAATTTGGTGCACACTTTACCTTCGCCGTAAGCACGTTCGCTTAATATTTGTAAATAAGGAAAAGTGGAAATATTGATCACGACACCGGAAACAGTCCACTTAATTTACTTGAGTGGATAAGAAGCACACTCTTTGATATTATAAATACTTTAGCAGCTTTTACCACAAAATTTAAGTCTACAATGCCAGGCGCCACCACCTTCACTACCTCATCAAAAAAAAAAAAATTAATCCATCAGAACATTTTTCCATTAATGCGTTATTTTTACTTTTGAAATGTGCTCAGAATTTACAACAGTTAAAATATATCCTGTGGAAACCCTTGCATTTGCTGTCTCCTATTGCTTGTTTTCAATTCCAAGCCTATACTCGCCCATGATTACTAAAACCACAACTCGAAACAACTCAATCCATCTACCTGAATATCGATCAGCGGTGCCCACAAATTTCACACATTTTTCCTCTTCCATTCATCATATTTTTTTAATAAAGTTGGACTGCGCCTAATTGTGTGATTAGACACGTGTTTAGAGTCTCGCCAAATTAATTTACCCGAAGTGATAAAAATGAGTAGAAATGGTCACCTCGTTTGACCTTGCGTTGAGTCTCACTTTCTACTCAGCTGTCTACGAAATTAGAGGAAATTACGTGGCGTAATAGTTTAGTTAAAAATTGATTGATATATTTGCGAGGGTTGTCTTCATGTGATTGGGGAAAATTTGCAGTCAGGCTTCGCTCAACCCTAGTCGATTTTTAGGGCGCGTTTTAATTAGGGGAGGTAGATGTATTCTGTATATGATCACTGGGAAGATTTACCGCTTTTATGTTGCTTAATTAGGACATTAAGCATTTAATGTGTACCTCCATTGTTTCTCGAACAAATAATTTATGATATATACTGCGGATCGAAGCGTTTTTTTTTGTTTCAGGAAAATCTGCGTTGATTACAGTTGCACAAGCACGACACACTGAAGCGACAAATTACATAAAGAAAGTAGGATAAGTACTTTCACAGTTCCTTAAATTTGAGTTCATTCGCCAAAGTGACTAATTAATCCGGTCTTTAAATCTGGATATCCAATAGAGCGCGAAGTTCAAACAGGTGTAAAAATTTTTAATCAGTTAGAAAGACTGCCTGAAATGAATTCAATTTTTTTACTTTCTAAGCGTTCTTAATTTATTCCAAACAGCAGCTGAATTAAGATCCCCGGTTCATATTTTCATCATGTTCTTTTTCCTGTTAGTGGCGATAAACCGCCTCAAATGAAAAATCCCCCGGGTTTTCGGTTTGTTTCCTATTTGTACTTCGTATTTCCGACTTATCTCGCATTTTCAAGCAGACTGCCACTCTTACATTCCGAAAGCTGTTAATATCAATTTTTGAAGCTGAACGCTTTGCTGTCAACACAGGTGAAATTTTTCGCTTTTTAACTGTTTTAATTGGATAATCGATAGGTGGTTCAACATACTGCTACTAACAATTTAGGAAGTTTTTTGATATGATGGGGTGTGTAATGTGTTGATTCGAAGCGAGGAATAAATGCGTTTAATTTTTGATGAAGTGGTAAATTTGACCTTAGAGGTGTGCAGGCGTTTGGAACCCCTTTCACCGTGGCCATCTAGGGATTAATCAACTAATGATAATGCGACTCTCACGCATTGTTTTAAATTTTTAAACGTTTCGTCTCTCATTAACTTATCGGTGGGCGGACCACGGTTTTATTAAATTATTTTTTTATATATTTACCGCACGCGCTGCTCGCTGATGTGACGGAAACGCGACTCCTTTTTAAATATACATTTTTTTTTATAAAGAATACACAATTTTAATAATTTAATATTTATAAGAGAAGCGGTAGCCAGCGATCTATAAATTAAAATAAAACAATATGCTGGTCGATACATGTATGAGATGGAAATTTTAAAGAAATCGCGAGTAGAAAGTGTGCCTGTACTCGACCTTGAACGCAGCCCCCTTTTCTACTCACGAGTAGAAAGTGTGTCTTTTTGAAACGAACCGCAGTAATTCTGTTTATTGCAACGACATTATTTCCGCGGTGGAAATAATAGAAACTACGTTGGAGTGTGAGCGACTTTGTGGTGAGTTTTTTCGGAATTAGTGAGGAGTAATTCGAATAATTCTGGCGTATGCAGGGTGCTTTGGCGGAGGTTACTTCATGAATTATGGCCCATTGTGTATAAAATTTATCTGGAGCCTAACTTAACTAAACATTAATAATATCGTTTTCATTTTAGGGTAATTGGGGTCGGAATGAGCAGCTAATCCTTTGTAAATTAACTTTGTCAGTGAAACTGGTCTACTAAATAAGTCACTCTTTAAGAATATAAATAAATTATGAAAAATTAAATCAGAGCGATTTAGTCTGGAACCTTTCCGCACGGAAGGTGGGCCCTGGATGTTTGCCGGTTTTCCCAGCGGATAAAGCAGCCCCTAACTGTAAGAGAAGATGAACGGTCGCTCGTTATAACGTCTAATATTAAAACATTGCATCAACTTATCCATTTAGACACAATCAAAAACAAAAAGAGGTTTAAAAATCGATACAGGCACATTTCCACCACCCTTATACGTTTTTCGTCTTTTCCCATGCGAATAAACGGATGAAAACTATATTTCATTTTTTTCTCGATTTCTCCGGTAATTTGACGTAAGAGCACAACTCGAGCCCTTTGTTAAATTTATAACAAGTGCGAACCATTACGATTAATTTGATTATGCGTGAATACGTTCAGATGGAAGATTTATTAATAAAGGTTATGTTAAATAATACGGGAAAAGGGCGCACGTGTTATAACCAACGAAGCGAGAGTGGTGCGATAGAATTTTATGAAGGAACCGCTTCCAGGACAATGATCACATTTAAAAAAATGTTTTAAGGTGTGTCAGAGCGGTTGTTTTAGTTGAGTTTGTGCGGTGCTGCGTCATCGAAAATTCAAGGGATAATGAATGCGGAATCAGTATCGGGGAGATACCTTCTTTTGATTTTCTTGGCCGATTTGAACTCTAACTTCTGAATATTCAAATAATATTATTGCTAAAGTTATTTCAAACTTCTGGAACGTGAAATTCATTTCAAATTATTTTAATTAAAATTTTGATCTCTGCTAGGCAGGCACTGTTTCATTACGCCGATACCGAATCGAATTTGAATATTCCACGGTCTTTGTCTCACGGCAGGTCACGACACAGTATCCAGCAAAAATCTCGCCATTTTTAGCGATGCAGCGCACTGCAGGATACGTCACAATAAACATGACACAACCTAATACCTCCGAAATTATTCTCGAACTCTGCACATGACAATTTTCGGACGTCGTTTCAGCAGCAGATCAACTCTACAATAACTTCGCCAAATCCTGAACCCGACTCGGACATCACAAATTGCCTCAATGTCAATAACTCGAGCCAAACCTTGGGCTTTGCCAGAAGTCAATTTTAAGTGTATTCGTGACACACAATAAAAACAAAACATTACGAACGGACCGCTGACAAATGTAGCTTCAATTAAATATTAAGGGACGCCGCGGAGCAGAGGTGCGATTGAGGAAATACATTGCCACTCTCATCAGAACCCGAAACCAGGAAATTTATCTCGAATTACCCGTTATTTACACCCGTCAATGTGGAAAATAATTTTAGAAAAACTTATACGACGGCGCTTCTGCAATATCTGAAATTTATTTTTTCTCTAGACATAATTCCGGCTTTATCATGTATTCTCGCCTTCTTTTTATTCTCTTAGCACTTCTGCATTACCATATTATGTTATAGTGAAACTGTGTAATAATGTCAGTAAAACGTTATAGTGTGAACCTGCCTTAAGCACATTTTTCAGCGCTTTATGCTCCCTAGCTTTACGCGAGGTGATATCCCAGACGCTGATTTTCAAGATTATATGACGCAGTTCTACTTTTTAAAAACCAGAAGTACTTGTTAAATGCAGTGACGGTTCGTGACTAATGTGTTTTACATAAATAGGCTAATAAATTTTATATCTTTAAATAAATCATTAAAATGTGAGTTGCGTGTTCAGTAATATTAATTTTTAAAATGTAGTCAATAATTATCATGTAAATAAAATTTTCAAATACGCACTCCATCATACCTAATATTTATTTATACTTTTGAAACGAAACGTCTCGCATTCGATTCGTTTGTTCCATACTATTTTCGAAACGTAAGTAGAAAGTGGAATCCGTTCAAGGTCAAAGTGAGTAGAAAGGGGGGCCTAGTTTAACTTGAAAACGAACATACTTTCTACTCATGTATTTCTTTGTTATAAGCAGATGTGTCATTTTGCAAGCTCACATTCAAACCGCAAACTCAGTTTGACTTGGCAAGTGAGCTCAGATTTTTTAACAATTGTTTTGATTGTTGACTCCGTGCAAGTGAGTCGGTGAATGGATGGCGGGATTATATGAGGGTGCGCCTTTGTTAAAGCTCGAAAATAAACTTAAGAAGAAAACTGAGTCCGCTCGAAGATAATTAGAGTAGAAAGTGGGGCTCAGCTTGGGAGTTTGCGTTCGAGTCGCTCACAACCTGATATGAGAACACACGAGTTCATTTTGCGCGTTAATTTCAACCTGTTAAAGTTTGTAAATAAGTGAAGTATTGTTGTTTAATGTGAATTGTTTCCTTTTAAAATTTTTCTTTCTCTTAATGGCAGCGAGCGCTGTGCCGCTTTATGTAGAATTAATTGCTTATTCAGTGTTTACAATTTATTTAATATCCAGGTTGGGGCAAAATAATTACCTTGCAATTTTTTCTTTTGTAATTTTCT